TAATGTAAATAATCGGTATCGGATACCGAAAAGGAAGTATAGGGTACCGAAATCTTTTTTAAGTATTGGGTACCGAGTATTGGGGACAATTCAGCACATCACTAGTCGCCCTCATTCTCGCCGCTCTCAGTTGTCAACTCTACAATGACGTCACGCCAAAATTACTCTCACAAATTCTGCTGCGATCGGCGCAATCTTGTATTTGCACATGCAGCAGTACATAGCATGTATTTAGGCGCCTGGTGTTAGCAGACGCGCCTAAACATACCGGGCCCCCTAGACGACTTGGTCGTCTAGTGGATATAACAAAAGCCGCAAATATCCGGCTCGAAGGACCATGAATAACTCAGTGAGAGGGGAGACCAGTATGTTTGCATGTATGTATATAAAAAAATATTTATTGGACCAAAAAGTAGTGGGTAGGCACTGTGGCCAATGGTAATCAACTATTACCACCTCCGCATGGTTGTAAGCCATGCAGAGTCCGCAGAAGACTCCGGAAGCAGTGTCCGGAGGATGCATCCGACTAGGCAGAGCATACTTTGAAGTGCCATCTTATTGAAACTTAAGAAAGTTCAATTACTTGGCAGTTGAGAAGTGCATGTGCAAAAATTTCCTAAATTGCATAAAGGAAATTTTTGCACATGCAGCAGTACATAGCATGTATTTAGGCGCCTGGTGTTAGCAGACGCGCCTAAACACTTGGATAGCACTGTTCTCTCTGATCTTAACAAAAAGCTCTTTCTAAGATGTCTATGATTAACACAACTGAAAACTCTATTCTAAACTTAAAACTGTATTTTAACAAGAATGAGTTTTAACTTGCGACTATGACTAGGGGCCAATGTAAATAAGATAGAGGAAAACGAGTGCTGCCACTTTATTAAAAATAGTTCAGCTTTAAAATTCATTTTATGTAGGGTTGAGTTTTTGTATTTATAAAGTATTTGTGCGTTCAACTTTTTGCGTAGCCGGCATACGGCCGCGCTTTGGGATTATAACCCTCATTACCTAGAATTCTCTTTCTGTTTTGCGAAGAAAAGAAGCTGAACACCTTTTGCAGAGAACACCTTTCTGCGTAGACTTCGCAAGATTGTTGTGCGGAATTTTCAAGACCGGAATATTGCAATTAAATAAACAATTTTGCACATATGTTTCATTTAATACATAAGAAATGTACAAAAATGTTGTGACCGTGTCACGCGTTTATTTCCTATATCGACAAAAGTTAAAAAGGTCTGTCACTAACTTAGTACAAAACAGTAATAATCACAGTNGAGATAGTTAACACCTGAAATAATTTGAAATATTATAAGCTGTGGGGTCTCATGAAGATGCGGAATTTACAAGAATATACAAATTTACATGCACTAAAATACAACCATGATTGATAAAAAGCTGAAGTTGCAAACCCACCTTGTTGAATTGTAGTCGCGTTGAAAATGCTAGTACGCAGGTAAGTTAAGTATTTCTTTTTTTCATTTCTAGTTGGCAACACTGATAGACAGTAACCAACCTTTTTGGGTTGTTGTTGTAGTAGTCGTTGTTGTTGTAGTTATATTCACTCCTGGGGAAGGCACGGGGTTGTGTACTGCTATTTAATGGCCTTCCTCATACTTTTTCTTAGATTTCAGGGTTGTGTGCTGCATAATTATTAGATAAATAAATTTGAGCATTTGACAATACCTTATTTTATTAAAAGAAAATTATAAATGGTGTTGAAAAACCAAACAAACGCTCGTGCGAAAGCTCTATTTTTGTGTGTTGTTAAAATTTATACATGGCGTATTGATGGACAAGCAATGTATTCTTTTGTGGATTTTATGTTGCTTGAGAATTTAGACAACGTGCGAGCTGCCAGGTTCTGTTATCAATATAATTAACACAAGCTTTTTCGCGTAGCTGCCTTTCAATAAATAGAATAAACAAATATTTGCAAATTAATTGGATTTATTTTATAAATGACAACTAACGTACGATTTTTGTTCTTTTCTCCATTTTGATTTTGACT